ATGCCTGCGGTGGCAGTCCTTCTGCTTGCTTTTGCATTACTATATGCTATTTGTCCTTTTTGGTGTTGTTTGACTATTGGACACTTGAATGTGTCACTAAATGGCTTACTTTAATCCTTTTTTCTTCGCTTGTTTATTTATCAATCAATCTTGTTTGTGGTACGTTGCAGAATTTGCTTGATTGCTTGGTAGATTTTTTGTTTGTTAAATACTGTTCTCAAATTGCTGCTTTATGTCGCCTCAAAGGGAAAATAAGCTTGGTGAGTTCATTATTGTGGCCTAGACCAGTTTAAGACAAGAGCAGATGCCACATTTCTTCTATCTTGTGGCGATTTGCTGTTTGATAACAGTTTTTTTATATTTCATTTATTTTATCAATTTAATTGAACAAAATTTTTCAAGCAGGTGGCAACCCTCCTCAAAAACATTTTCGGCAGTAAACTTTCCCAAACCTCCTCACTTTGATAGTCGTGTTGCAATATTCAATATATCTTATCAATTAAATTAAATTAAAACTTTAAAACAGGTGGCAACCTTCAACAAAAATATTTTCAGCTGTAAGCCTTAACCTCTAGACAAAGTCAGATGTTATTAAAAAATAAGTTTTAAACAAATGAGTATATTTTACGCAATTCCACATGTTCAGCGAGGCTCTGTTTAAAAAACATTTTAAATCCTTCTTTGAAAAACTTTATATTAGAGTATGGTGGCAGTACGACCAATCTCTGGCAAGCGGTGTGTACTGTATAAAATAATAAGCAACCGGCTTAGCAAAGTTCAATCGGAATCTCCAGTGAATAAGTCAGCAGGGTACTGATTCCAGATACCACAGTCCTTCGAGTCCTCCCTGAATGGATTATGGTTAGTGAAGAATCTACTCGGATCCAGAATCAATATGCAGTGATCGGAATGGGCCGGAATGAACAAGATACTTCTTGAAATTCCCCGCCGTCGAGCTGGAAGTGAAGCTACGCCTTCCAACCAAATTTAAATTAGCACAGATCTCTGCACTCACTCCGGCCCTCACTTACCCCAGATACATCATCTGTCAGAGAGCGTGGAAGAAGTTTGAATAACTGGTATTTTATATGTCCCCGCATTAAGAACAAGTTCGTCTTGTTAGCGTTATCCTAAACCAAAGATGGTGGCTGGATTTTCAACCAAACTCAGGTATTTTTAAATTACTTCTCTAATTGACAACAACCCCTCCCCTCTTTGTGGGGTACCCTTACTCACTTTTCGTTGTATGGAAGATTTTCTAAAATCCATAGCAGGCAGATGTTAAGCCTTGCCTGCTTTGGAAACAAAAGTAGCTTTGACCACCTTCGAAGGTTATGGAATTTAGTTGCTACGTACGCAGTTCTCCTACAAGTCAACCAGCGGCACGACACGTCTGAAGATTTCTGCAGTTGGGCTGGTATGATGCCATTAGAATTCGCGGCTTCAAACGATATGGCCAAGTATAATTTGGATAGCAACCCAGCACCCATTCGAGAGCGAATGAAGCCGAACCCAGCTGGCACCTTCCAAACATATTCGGGTTAACGGTTTAACAATATATTCAGGGTCTGGACACCAGCAAGTGGGAGCTGCCATGTAGGATACCCTTGCGTCGAAAACATTAATTAATACTCGATAAGATCTTTGAATGAATATCTCGGCAAATTTTGTAAGGATGATTTGCATCTCAGATGTCTATCTGCTTAACTGGCTGATGCCCTCGTGAGTGTAAAAGCAGGCTTCATCGACACTTAAGAGATTAGAGAGACAGGCCAAGCTTAAAATACACCAGGTTTGGAAAGCCACTTTTCTCCAATAGCTTCAGCAAATCGTGGGCGAAAACAACTCAAAGTAGTGGTGAGAGGACTCCTCCTTGAGAGTTACCTTAACTCATTCTTCTCTAAAAGAAGGTCCTGCCCCGCTCTCCAACACACGTTCTCCTACGACCTGAAAAAGTCAACCTCGACATTCAGCTATTTTAGGAAGCTTTCAATTGCATCAGTCGGACGGTTATTTAATGCTCCCTCAAGAAAAACTGGTCAATAATCTCTAGAACCAGAGCTTCGGAGCTAAGATTTTTTTCATCGCTATAATGGATGTATTTTATTTCGCTCCGAGCTCCGCTCTTGCTCCACTCCCGCTCCCAAAAAAAACCCTTTATGTATTTACTTATTTACATATCGAACCCTAACCGCCAAAAATACTTGGGAGATATTTTTTTAATTTTCTGTTTGATGCAAAAATGCACCTAGATGCTCTACAAACACTTCTACAAATACACCGCGACCAAAAAGATCTCCTGTATCTTTGGCCAATGTGGCCTAATGAATCCTGAAAGAGCCTTGGTAGACGAATTCCTTATAGCAAAGGGTTCGACCATTGAAGAATTAAAATAAATCACTATTTGTCTGGCCAAAGCCGGCCAGTGACAGAGAATGTGCTCCTAAATTTCATCATCCGACTCTGTGATCGCATCTATTCGGTGCAAGTGAAATCGCAATTGATGGTGACCGGTCATGTCCCAGAAAGTAGCCTGATGTCATTTTTGTTTACTAAAGCAATGTCGTTTCTGTTGAAAGGGTAGTCGAAGAGCCTGGCCTGCCTAAGACCTTCCACTGCTCTCCAATACGTACTGCGTTCCCTTTAAACCCTTTTCAAGGTTTAATTTTGCGCAGTTAAAAATTGCGACTATTTCAGCAAGAAACACAATGGGTCATTTCCTTATGGGAATTGAGAGTTTGGTGCAAAGTCCAAAGCTACCTGCACCTGCTCTGTCCGCCATCCTTGAACCGTCTGTGTGCCAGTGAACGTATCTGAAATCAAGTGCTGGGAGCCCATTTGCCCAATCTCTTTAGTCATGGAATCAGAGATTCTGCATATTTCCAACCCTGGTATCTTCCCAAGAATACCTGCATGAAGCTTTTTTGCGAAGAAGCCGTTGTTAGATAGTCGGAATTGCTGCTCCCTCATGGCTGCTGTTTCCTGGATAAAAATATGGAGAGGAGTCCATCCCAGGAGCGACTCTAAAGCCGCAGTTTAACACGGTCAGCCTTGCGCTCAATCCCCATTTTCTACCAAAAACTCTTCTGCAGGCCCACATGGCCCGTTTGGCTTTAGCAACCGTTTTCTCAAGATTGGAGTTCCAATTAAGTCTCTTATCTAGCGTAATCTCCAGATACTTAACCTCATCGAAATATTCAAGCACTGTCCCTCCAAGGTTTGGTTTATACCTTGTTGTAAACGGTACCAGAATAGCCTTCCGAGGATTAATGCTGAGGTCATCATTGGCACAACAGTTTTAGACTATGCGAAGAGCCGCACATGCAGTCTGATTGAGAGGTCGTCCACAAGAAGTGACCAAAGCAAGGGTGAAGGACCCCTCCCTGCGGGCAGCCTCTCACGACTCTGATCTTCCCTTGAGTATTGACGAGTAGGCTCTAGGCCTCTCTGGACCAATGCCCTTGAGAAAGATTCACAGGCAGTATTGTCGAAAACCTACTCGATGATCCAAGAAGATTAACAGTTCATGAATGTACATTTATCTGTATTGGCATGTTAGATGCATTTTCATAATATTTAATTTGCGACCCCCTTAACCCCTGAAAATTACTTTGTAAATGTAATTAAATTGCACAGTGGGCATTTATTGAGCAATAAAATTTTCAAATTACATATACTGAAAACATTATTGTCGCTTTTTATTACTTCAGCTTTTATTTCCCCCTTCGCCACTGCAGAGGTACACAAAATAAAAACACCACAATTTTTGATTTAGTTTTCTCATTTCAAACGGGCAAGGATGCTGTGATGTCTGATTTGATTTGTGTCAAATAGAAAAACAATTTAACAGTAACATCGTATGTTTTTTCGGTCTTTACAAACAAATGAATACACATATACATATATACATGTCTGCAGGTATGCACATACATATGTATGTAGTATTAGAAAAAAAATGCCGGCAGTGAAACTGTGACATATGGCATATGTGAACCTGCCTACCAAATAGTAGACATTTATTGCATTTAGAGTGAATAGGCGGGTCAACACTTTAAGCAACGATTTACTTGTAGAAATCTGTGGAAAGCAATGACCAATATATTTTGTTGGAAAATGTGTGTTTTTGTAACGGTTTCTATGTAATAATTTGGTTGTTTCTCTTTTCCTGGTTGCACGCGACCTGCCCAAAATCAATCGTACTAATCAATGCCCAATTACCCTCTGATAAATACCAGCAAATTGGGCACATGCTCGCATTTTGTGTAAACTAGTAATACAAAAGCATAAATACATATCTCTACAGTGCTTCCATATATATGAACCAGCCAAAAATGCTGGCAAAAAGTGAGCTAAGTTCGAACGATTACTTGCAGATTGCGATGCCAGGACAGCATAATCTGTTTAAATATTCCAATCACAAACATTGAGCATAATAATATCTATGTACTCGTTCACATATAGCTCATCATCATTGCCCTAATGACCGACCTTAATAAAGTGGTTGAAGCTGAGCAATCATCATAGACATGCTATGTGACTGACTGGAATGCACACTATGTGGCCACTTGTGCGCCGCAGTGATTGCTAATTAAGCACCAAGGAGGCATTCTTCGAATTGCTGGCTGGCTAGAGAGGAAAAACTACCCTTCTGCTCTCTTGCATAGCATGCAAGCTATCAACAAAGCATTAAAATTTAATTCGGTGTACTTAAACCACAATAACAACTGTCTTTTTATGATGCGCATCCTTTGATACGCCTTTGTTGTTCGCACAAATGGGATTTGTCACAGTCGATTGTCAGTGCTTTGTGTGGCACTAAAAATGTTAAGAATCAAAACGGTTGTGTCAAAAAGCAAAAATCTCGTGGAAGTTTGCAATAATCGTTTCGCTTTTTTCGCTTGCTTGCTTGCTTGCTCGTAACTGCGATACTACATTTTTGTTAGGAAAAAATGTTTGCCATGCCATAATAAAATCTTATTGTTATTGCGCATTCAACTTACCTTAACGCACGACTCAGCTTATCATAATTCATATTCGGCTTTGACTTGCGTTCACCCCAACGTCTGGCCACCTCATCGGGGTCGGTTAATTTGAATTCGCCATTTGTGCCTTCCCAGGTGATGCAGGCGGCATTACCGGAATCGGAGAGTAGTTCTAACAGAAATTGCCATAACTGTATTTGGCCAGAACCTGTAGGGAAAGAAAGCAAGGAAACGGTTTAGGAATCTTCAACAAATGTTCATATTTTTGTAAACATAACTTCATACTACATACAAATATAGTGACAATTTTCTTCCGGTCCCATATGAAAATTTTGTTATCGGTCATAAAAAAAAATTTCAAGAAAATTTTAGCCGTCTATCTTCATTTTTCAATTAGCGCTCGGAAAGATAAGAATTTTCCATGAAAAAAAAACAATTGCGCAGTAGCTAGGAATTACCCTTGAAGGTGTTCTCCATATAAAAAAATTGTCGAATATATTTCGTATTGAAGAAAATAACTGACATCGTCAACAACAAAAAATTTTGAAAAATCAACGGCAAG